TTGGTTTCAGAGAGGAAGAGAGAAGGAGAGAGAGATAGAAACATCAATGATGAAAGAGAACCATTGATCGGCTGCCTCCTGCACGCCCCCCACTGGGGACTGAGCCCACAACCCAGGCATGTGCCCTTGGCCGGAATCGAACCTGGGACCCTTCGCTCCGCAGGCTGATGCTTTATCCACTGAGCCAAGCCAGCTAGGGCTGATTTTTTATTTTTTTGAAGAAACTCCATCCTGTTTTCCATAGTGGCTATAGCAATTTACATTCCTACCAACAGTGTACTAGGGTTCTCTTTTATCTTTTGTTAGAGGCCCGGTGCATGAATTCATGCACAGGAGGGATCCTGAGGGGGCTGGGGGGGGGGGCATCGTTCCTCCAGGCAGGCGGTGGGACACCCTTGCTGGCCCGGGATCTGGATCCATCCTGCTGACATTTGCACTGGTTGTCAGGAGCTACCTGGCGGCTGCTTTTATATCCTTTCTTCCTTGTGGAGCATCTAGGGAGGGGAAGCAGCTGTGGTGCCCAAGGCCTACTTCCAGGAGGCCGGTGGCACTGTTGGGATCGTGCTGGTAGCGCTGGTCCGTCGGTGCCTTGCCCATTCTCTGGAGATTGGACCTGCAGGACTACTGAGGGAGTGGCTGCCGCTGGGCCAGTGGGCTGCTGGAATGGGTCTGTCAGCTGAGTCGTGCTCCCGCTGTTGGGAGCACACTGACCACCAGGGGGCAGCTTCTGCATTGAGCGTCTGCCCCCTGGTGGTCAGTGCTCATCATAGTGACCAGTTGTTCCAGTCATTTGGTCACTTAGACTTTTATATATGTAGATTTTTTTGGATAATAGCCATCCTTACAGGTGTGAGGTGATATCTCATTGTGGTTTTGGTTTGCATTTCCCGGATGATTAGTGTTGTTGAGATATCTTTTCATATGCCTATTGGCCATTTGTATGTATTCTTTGGGAAAATGTCTATTCAGGAACTTTATCAATTTTTAATTGGTTATTGTCTTTCCTATAGAGTTGTATACATCTTTATGTATTTTGTATATTTGCTGCTGAAGTAAGTACATATGTATCTTGAATATTAACCCTTTGTGAGATATATGGTTGCAAATATTTTCTCTCAATTCCTAGGCTGCCTTTTCATTTTATTTCCTTTGATGTGCGGAAGCTTTTTAGTTGGGTATAGTTCCACTTACTTATTTTTGCTTTTGGTGTCAATAAAAGAGAATCACTGCCAAGGCTAATATCAAGGATGTTGCTGGATGTGTGGCCCTATCCCATAGATTCTCAGTGAGAAACTGAGAGTTATGGGTTTCCTCCCAATTGTAAGGCATGGTGCCAGTGGTGGGGTTTATGGCAAAAATGTGCCTCAGCTTCTTCTACCTGTTCTGATGTGGGTATTTTCTCAACAGTTAAAGTTTAGAAGTCTCTCTACTAGTTTCTGGATTTCTCTCAGAGGAGTTGATCTCTGTGTAGGAGGGAAAGCCATTTTATCGACATCTTTTCTCAGGTTTGATTGTCTATTAAAGGAGCATTAGGTACCTGGCAAAAAGATGAAGTAGCCAGAGTTGTAACAAATACTGAGCAGAGAACATACACTTAAATTGGAGGAAGAGCTAACTCTTAACTGGTGGTTGTTCAACACTGGTTTCAAGGCAAGCAGATGTTTTCTCAGACTGATCATGACTGAAGAAAAGCAAAGGGAGGGGTAGTGATGGAATTATCATGATACAGCAGGAAAGGGGGCACTGTTGATAGATCAGTTTTTGAGGAAGATATTAGAAAAGAAGTTTTTAAAAATGTATGTGTCTAATCATGAATAGGAAAGGCATTTCTGGAACAACTTTCTTTGTTTTGCCTTTTAAGAGGTATGAGAGTTAAACATAAACAGTCTTACCCTTTCTACTCAGAGACCCTAAACTGACCCCTATATGGGTTTTGGAATGAGAAAAGCAGCTCTATACTTCCCTCAACCATTTCTGCTGTCTTTATTTCCTCCTTTCCCTTATTTTGTACTTTGCAAGAAAATGAAAGTTAGTGAATAGGCAGACATGAAGAAATAAAATTGAGTTGGTGCTTCTCAAATGTATTTTAAAATTTAAGCTTTTTCTGTTTAATGTTCAAATTATTATTATAACACATTAGAGCTACTGAAAAGCATTTCTTGAGCAAAATAAAACAAAAGGGAAACTTCATTTTAATGTACATTTCAATTAATTCATACCCTCTTCTCTGCCTTAGACAATGAAGAAGAGTCTTTAAACATTTGCTTTTTCTTACTCTCTTGTACCAAGTTTTCTTTGCTTTCTTTTGAGCCCATTTACAAAGGGTAAATATTAGTAGGATTACTCAAAAAGATAAACAGGACAAGGTACAATTACAATCTCCTTTCCCATTTCATCCCACAAAAGGATGAAGAGATCAAAGCTATCAAAAACACCAAAAGAACCAAAACCCTCAAAGCAGCCGTCCATTCCTAAGCCCACAGATTCATTAAAGATGGTCTCCCAATTCATTTATGTCTGAGTTTGTGGAAAATATCTGTGAGAAAAATCACATTTGCTTCCTTATCTACTCCAAGGCAGAGATCATGTTAATGCTAATACTCATCCTACTGTGTACTACTATCAGTAACAATTCACAAGAACTTTCCTCATGGTACATTGAGCTTAAATGTACTTGTGAGCTGTAAAATAATATCCTGTTTCATATATAAAGGTTTCTCACTAAACCAAAATCACATACCTGCTAAATAAAAACAGGTTTCAAAGCTACGATCCTTGATTCCAGATCTTTTCACAAGGACTTGCCGCTTTTCAGTCTTTCCTTTTATAATAATACATTTATCCATTATATTATGACAGGTCTAGTTAATATATTTAAGGTACGTTTCAAAAAATCTTTCCTCCCTAGCCTGTTTGGCTCACTGGATAGAGTGTCAGCCTGTAGAGCAAAGGGTCCCAGGTTTGATTCTGGTCAAGATTGCTTACCTTGGTTGCAGGCTCCTTCCCTGCCAGGGCTCTGGTCGGGGCATGTGCAGGAGGCAATCAATCAGTGTATTTCTCTCACATAGATGTTTCTCTCTATCTTTCGCTCTCTCATTTACTCTCTCTAAAAATGAATGGAAAAATATCCTTGAGTGATGAATAGAAACAAAACAAAAAATCTTTCTAATCAGGAATTTTGTAATTGTTTATTATTGTCACCTTTCAAGCTCTTCTTGCCCTAGAATCTGAGGTAAGTTGGTGAAGATATAGATCTCTGAAAGTTGCACTGCATCATCTCTAGGCTTTAGCTGGGTCTCCCTGAGGCCATATCATGTCCTTATCAAGGCATTGGCCTGTCTCTGATGTGGAAAAGATAAAATGAATATTGGAACATAGCCTGTTGGATGGCCAATAAAGGATCTGAAGCATCTCGCTAAGGCTGGCTACTTGTATAAAGTTTGTATTGCTAAAAAGTTTTTCTTAAGGTTCTTTGATTCAACAGCTTGGTTTTTTTTTTCTGATTCTTTCTGCAGATTAATAATCCTCACACTTTTTAATGGGAACAGAAAACCAGACGTGGGTGAGAGAGTTTATTCTTCTGGGCCTGTCCAGTGACTGGGACACTCAGGTCTCTCTCTTTGTCCTGTTCTCCATCACATACATGGTGACAGTGCTGGGGAACTTCCTCATTGTTCTTCTGATCAGACTGGACAGCCAACTCCACACGCCCATGTATTTCTTTCTCACCAACCTCTCCCTTGTTGATGTCTCCTATGCCACAACCATAGTCCCTCAGTTGTTGGTTCATTTTCTTGCAGAACATAAAGTAATCCCACTCGTGAGCTGTGCAGCCCAGTTATTTTTTTCCCTGGGATTGGGCGGGATTGAGTTTGTTCTACTGGCAGTGATGGCTTATGACCGCTATGTGGCTGTGTGTGACCCCCTGCG